GAAAAAAATAGTAGATTGCACGTAGCTGCATCAGCTACTCGCTGGATGCATTAAGAAATCGCTCTTTGTCTCAGTTCCGCTCTAAATAGAACCATCACTGAACGTTTTATATGCCGTTCTTTGCAGTTGTATTTGCTTTCTACCCTCTTCCGCTACCTTACGGTTTTTGTTTGGTTGTATATATTTAAAAGCTAAATTGCAGTTTGCAATATTTTTGATTAGAAAGTGCAAAATAACAAGTCATAAATTATATTATCAATAAATAATTTTAACACTTAAATTTAGCGCGCTTTCGCACTATATTCGATTCGTATTCATTCTGAATCCCACTCTATACAAATCTAGAAAACTCGGACACAATTCGGATGTCACTTGTGCACTACGTACGATTCAAATCCGTGGAAATACTAATATCGTTTGTATACCTAGAGATAAAATCATCGCTGTGACATTTCGTATTGTCATTTCTCGGATTCGGAACTGGGGGTCTACTCTCGATCTCCGTCCGACATCCGTCCGAAACAATTACTGTCAAATAAGTAATATTCGACAAAATTAAAGGACAAGTATCAAGTATGAAGCTTCATTCGCATCACGCGTCTTTTCGTTTGGTCAAGTATTGCTTATTTGGCAGTAATTGTTTCGGACGGATGTCAGACGGAGATCGAGAGTAGACCCCCTGATACGAATCGGATATAATGAGCAAACGCTGTAATGTATAAAATTTGACAATATTAGACATGACTGGTTGATTTCTTTGATGACTTATTCTTGTATCGAAATCATACAGTTTATTATCGCGGCCCAGAACAGTCACGTTGATCACGTAAGCCGCCATGTTAAACAGTGCATGGGATGTGTTTGCCATGGTGGTAAAAGGATTTGGTTGATGACTAATATGATTTCAGTAAGACGTGACCATGGAATTTGTAAAGAGCCTGAAACTTTGGTTTGTTGGAAAAAATAAATATAGATACGTGGTTTCGATTCAAAAAAATATTTACATACTCCTTATATAAACTTATTAATGTGTCTATATGAGTCATTGACTTACAAATATGAGTGAGGATTTTTTATACCTGTTTTTTTTACGATATTCAGTGACGGTACGAATAGTCGTGTACCTGGTGATAAACGACACGCCTATACATGAAAGTTGCCCCACTCAGAGCTTTTATTCGCAAAGATCTGAGGGGCACTGCCACTGCGCCCGTTACTCTGGGACTTAAGTTGACAAGTTCCATGTGCCTGTAGTTTCACCAGCACCCTTGCCCTTCAAAACCGGAATACAATTATGCTCACATTATCGCTTGGCGCTAGAAAAAGTAAGGTAAGAGTAGGTACTTTCCTGGATGAACACTTTTACAAGTAGCGCTACTGCTACTAATGCGAACTTCAACTTTGATTTGAAGTCTTATCAATCGCCTGTAACCATATTTTCCCCTTCCATTCGTATTATGTTTGTACTTGCAAAAAATGATACCTACTTAGCTCTTTTTTTAATACTATAATAGCTCTTCATAATATTCAACAATCATTGAAGCTTGACTACTCAACGTTTGTTTCACTAAAGTCTCCATTAGAAGCAATTTCATCATTTGCCTGTCACAGACCATTGAGACAAGTGAGTATTATAGTATAGTAGTTATAATAGAAGATGACCTGACAGTCAAATGAGGGTTTTTATAATGCCTTTTTCCAGTGGGTAATTGTTTTGTGACATAACATAGAGATAAGGATGCATATGGCATAATAATATAATAACACAAGCATGGTAACTTCAAACAAACACAGCGCAGCTTGAATGTGTACGCGCCCGCGTCGCGTCATGTACAGACGCACACATTTGCATAATCTCGCGGTGCACTCGAGTTGCACGGCGCGGGTCATCGCACGTGCCATTCATTATAGAATTGAAGCGTTGGCTTGGTTTAAAAAATGTTATTTTATAGGTTATGGTTGTTTGAACAAGAGTGTCTCAAATAGTCACATAATCTAAATCCGCAAAGCTGGCATAATAATATCAATATTTAAGTTCTGCATTTAATAAGGGTTATATATGTATATGTTATATGTATACCTTATTTTTTCAAACTATGTTTGCAACTTGTAATAACAAAATAGTAATGTGACAACCCTACTGATTTCTAAATGTTTACGTCATACTACATTTGGATGAATTTCTAATGTACATGAAAAGATATACTTACTTATCCAAATGCGGATAACTACACTAAACGTCTGAAACGAAGGAATATCCTATTCTGTAATATATAAAGTTTGTATCACATATTCTACCGCCCAAGCAAGACATCTATATCTAAACAAGTACTATAAGATATCTTATAGAATTTAATTCCATTGTACATTTTAAGAGTTCAAATTCCCTCAGGATATCTTGAAGAAGGTTTCTAGATAATTTAAAGTAAAAGTGGGTACTTTCTTAGTAGATCACAAGAGTGCTTTGAGAAATAATCTGTAGGTAGTGTTAAGAATCATTCTTATCTTTTTGATTGTCTACAAAACGCGATGTTTGTAAACCATTTTTTCTTTCGACAGTATTACAAAACCTTTTTATGGAGTGAAAGTTGAATGGTGAGCGTTTTATGCAATAAATAACCTTTCACACGTCATCCAAGATAAAAAACAATTTAAAAAATCCAATTTGTCGCAAAAAACGTTATTCTGTATAATTATATGGAATGTGTTATATATGACTACAACAGTGGATAAACTGTACAAACTGTATGGGATAAACTAGACCACCTTCGTCCTCGAAAGACCAACTCCAAGTTTTTGTAAAGACAGCGCACTGTTAATTGTTTGCATTATTATTTTTTGTATGACTCGTACTACATATTCGGCGGTGTGTGTAATTGCTCACTATATTCGGACATTCGAGGCAACGTGCAGTAAAAATTATCGAAATTACAGATACTACTGATAATAGACACTACAACACTGAAAAATAAACGAAACGTTACTAAACATTATAACAAAAGAGTTATAGAATATTTTTATAATATTGCTAAGGTCATAATAATTTTCGTCCCTTCGTTTCCAAATTCGATCAGAATAGAGACAGTGTTGCCTAACGTATACATCATTAAATGTTAAATTTGGCCAAAAGAATGTACAAGGGCCGTACCAAGAAACTGAATGCATTATACAAAAGTGCGTTCGTTTGATATTCATGGCGTATTAACAAAGGATCACAAATGTATCGCAGCAAGTAAAAGCCTCAATGTTTCATTACAAACATGAGGCATATACTCGGTTGCTTATTTGTTTTCTTGAAATTCATACAAAACCAAAATAATTGTTTTTAAAATATATTATGCATCTTCTGATTACAAAATCAGTTGCCCGTGGAAGGAAACGTCCCTGTTTACCCGTTTACCTACAGTTATGGTGCTTTTGCAGTTTATAATGGCACAATTGTGCACTTTTTGCTTTTTCGACTGGTGTTTATCTGCGATAATCGAGCGCCTTCTGAAGTGTAGTAGCGGCAAGTAAGCGAATTTCACTTACTTTGGGCACGCGAAGTACGTACACTTGCGGCGTCTATCTAGATATATGTCTGTCGTATCGAATGATGTGACATAATATAAAAGGTTCACCACCTCCACCAGATCTTTTAATATTCTTTACTTTATCCATTTTGCATGACCTCTAACAACGTCCAATAGAGTAAAAACCCTAATTATAGTATTATTTTTAATAAAATCTACTGAAGACGCGCTATAACGTGTTTGTCAATAAGTTTATACACTACAGAATGTCTGTAAAAGAAATATATATAGAATAAACTTAAGAACACTCGTTTTTAGAGTATTAACAGACTTTACTGGATATGTATGTACCATTTTTTTATTAAAAATAATCAGTTGATCTACAGATGAACTTAAAATAAGGACTATAAGAGTAAATCTTAAGACAGATCACTCTTAATTAAGTTGTTTAGTATTAAGAAGGTTTTAAAGTTTTGACTTGAGTTAAATAAGTATATAAGAACAATTTCTTTTTTCTAAAACCATTTATAGAGAACTATTATCTAAACCTATACCATATTAAGACTGTTTATAGATATAATAGTTTTGAGGCGTATAAAGTGTGCACCTTGGGCACGAATCGAACCCGGAACCTCCGCATCTAGTGCTAACTGCTGGGTCACTAAATTTCATATTAATTATTAAGATTTATTTATTAGAATTTAACCACAAGTTCTGAGTATTTTTAAAATAGAATAACATATCGAAAACGTAACTCTATGCTTGATTAGACAACAGGTTTACAAACCGTGATTGTAATACTGTGGTTAAACTATGGATAAACGGAACTCTGCGCAAAAGTAGGTATCACTACCCTCTTGCTACGTATTACATTACAGAGGTATCGATCGATGATCACGACTCACGATCTTTAGTTAAATTCAACAATGTTAATGATGCTACTGGAAATCACAAAACACGCAGAAAATATAATACGAGAAAGTTGTTTTATAATATTACTGTTTCATTTGTATTGTAAAATATAATAATTATAACTTTAAAAAAAACGGACCTTAAAATTTTTGTGGAATTACATATATTTGCCAAGTTTCATTTTAATCGGTTAACGGAAAGTAGGTGAAATTCAGTAAACTGGATACATCCCGTAATTCGCCATACTTAGAGGTGGAATATTTTCTTCAAGTTTGAATAGGATCACTACTGGGATATGGCTTTTTCAACAAAGAATAATCGAAATCGGTTCACAAATGTTAGAGTATTCGCGTTACACAAAGAAAAAAAAATTGACTAGCTCCTTATTTTTGTGAAGGCGGTTATAATAATAAAGGTTAAAAAAGGCCATTATATTAAATATTGATTAGTTATTTTGAATGTGCAATAGAGAATTATAAAATAGTTAATAAATAACAAACTCTTAAATATGGGTACTTCGTTAGTAATTTATTGTAAAAGTGATTATTACTATGCAAGTTTATTTGTAATACTTACATTGTAAAATAATGATGAGTTTTAATAAATACCACATCATGTTAAGGATCAATCCAAGTCAGTGTATTACAATAAACACATTTCAGTAAAACAAATAATGCGTATGCGCAACTTCCAAAAACCACATATTCATTAATAATAAACACAACCGTGCACAAAACCGTCTGAAAAATAAAATACTATTTTGTAATAAAAACTTTCTCATTCAAAATTATCGTCGCAAAGTTTTGCTAAATTAACTAAATAACTTTACGTTTTACGTTTAAATACGTGAAGTTAACAAGTTACTGCGTCCCCTGCGTGTGTGGGGTTCGAACCCGGGTTGGAAACTAACCGACAAGCAACTGGCGTCCGGTAGCAGCGGACCATATCGGAAGCACTCGCCGTATTGTGTAGTTATTGGGTAATTTATTCTAATACTGCACTTAAGGATACACAGTACTATAGAGATCGTCTAGCGTACGTTAATAACAGTGCTTGGGAACCGCATGAGTGCACACGTCACTCTCATTACGGGGCTGATGCTAAGGTCATGTAGATGTCCTTTACGGTTTAAGACGTCCTGTGGAGAATTTCACATCAATTGATTATCACAAGCGAGTAAGTAGATATATGCCATAAGTAAAGTAGATGTGAATTATATTGTAATTACAATTCAACTCTACTTAACAAATTTTTCGTTCCGTCATATGTTTGAATTAAATGTAGTCAGATGTTAAAATTAAAAAAAATTGATATTAAGTTTATAATTATAAACTTTTTTATAAAAAAGAACCAACCCCAAAACTTTGTATAATTATTTCGATGCTGAAAAGGTAAAATGTCTGTGTGCATATGGAAAATATTACATGAGAGCGATTTAAAGTATTTTTGCTCTAATTTTATTTGTCATACGGAAATGTTGAAACTTTCTAGTTCTCAACATAACATTTTAAATTAGAGTTATTATTATTTTTTCCTTTAAAAAAATTAAATTCCTTTAATTAAATTTTTATTGAATTGATATTCAATTATTTTTTGTGAAATTACTCCACTAGTTTGTTATAAATTTAAATTCCTTTCTTGAATAATTTTCCAAGTGCACGTTAGATGCGTAAAAATCACCTAAAATTTTAATATTTACTCTGATAGTCACCAAATTAAAAACATTAAGTATATAGACATCGCGAAAGGCTGCTATCTGATAATATATGCGACAAGATGTAGACTGGGCTTAATGTTCACCTTTAGTGAGGCCTATGTCCGGCAGTGGACTATATATAAGACTATTAATGATTATTGATAAATATTGGAAAAGATATGATCATTTTTATTGAAACTGATAACCTTTAAAATGGTCAGAAGTTAAATTTAAATAGTTTATTGAGGGTAAGGTAACTTGCCACCAGAATTATCATTTAGTCTATTGGAGCATCTATTTCTTCAGTAATTGTGCTTGTTTACAACAATGACAAATATGTCCCTAACTCCTAAAATATAGCAAATGTAAATAGCAAGCGACATATTTACACAACACAATACAGATGGCAAACGCCCGGACAAAATGACCCTCATCCCTTGGAGTATCGGCACACACTTGCTCCATTCCATCTCTTGCACACCGGTAAGAGGGCTGGCTCCGCAGCTGAGCTGCCGAAAAGAATAAACAGTAATAAGTGAACCAGGACCTCGGCTCCGACCACTTATTTACAGTCTTTAGAGACGATAACCCTGGCCCGTGGGGTCCCGGTGTCCTTAATTTGTACAAAATATGATCCAAAAAAATAATAGACTGTCTGGGAAACACAAGGGCAGCTACCTCGCCCAACGCTGTATCATAGCCATACAAAGGAGAAACGCTGCCAGCATCTTGGGCACCTTGCCGGGGAGATACAATTTTATTCATATGATTTAATCCTAGTTTTACGTTCTAGTATTTAAGCTTTTATTGTACCTTATCTGTATATTATGAAAGTAAAATAGATTGAAATATTTAATACCTATTATATAAGACATTTTTTATTATTAAAATTCACAGTGATACAAAATTTTGTATTCCAAAATGTTGTGTCACGAACCAAAACAAAGTATTTCATCATTATTAAACTCTAATAAAGTTCCATAACAGGCTTACAATTAGTATAAAATATAAGAGACTAAACTGAGTAAACTTGGTATTGTCTTCGCGATATCGCTTTCCGGCGATTAGGGACTGAACTTGCTAATTTGCATTGTCGCTTTTGTAATGTGGATTCATTTGACAAATTTATTTTGCGTTTCGTTTTAGCCGTATGTTAATGAGAAAGGGTAGGATGTGGGCTACTAAGTCTACAAATTCGTATGCACAGTACATGTTTGATACTTCGTTAACAGCATATACAACTTTGTCACCGTATACGTGACTGTCGGTCGGACATTCTCAGCGATGGATAACTTATTCCAGACGATTTGTGTTTTTAAGAAATAAGGTGTTTAACATTTTAATGTACTTCCTCTTCCTGTACCTATGGTCTTTACTATTAATTTCACCAACGTAAATGAAGCTATCAACGCAAAAGTGGTGTAACTCACATAACTTTTTTTTCTACAGTGTTATTTTTTTGTGTGTGTTTTTTTTAATGATACTATTATTTTATATTTGGATACCATTTTCATGTATAAAAAAAGAAATAATTAAGTATTTTTAAATGCAAGTATAAAATAAATCCAATTACGTACTTTAATATCATTTAAAGTAACATTGCAGAAAAGAAATTGAATGTGGTTTAGGGTGCGTACAGATTTGGTGAATACGCTGCGAACGCGCTGCTCGCGAACCGCATGCGCACACTGTGAGAAGATCGCACAGCGTAATGCTTGTGTGCAGCTTGCGAGCTATTTACAAACAGGCGCATTTGCGCACTGTACCATTTTTGTGTATACACGTAAAAATGGTGTAGTGCGCGCATTATACCATTTTTGCGCTGACAGCTTCTAATAAATTCGATGGTTCGAAAAAGAAATTGTGTACGAGTGAAAAACAAGCTTAGAAACGTTTGGGTTATAATCTTATTTATTTTCTGTACCTAATTAGGTAAACGTACCTAATAAGGTTTATTATTAATGTTAATAACTACATCAATAACTCTATTTTTTATAAAGTTGACTTATGCGCCCTTTCTTCTACGAAATATCTATTACAACTTTAATAGAATATTGCACATGGAAGTACTAGTGCAATACTATGAAGATAGAGGTGAGTGTTGCAATGCAATCAAATAATTGATTTAATAGTACGGTAGAAACAAGAATACAATTAAATCCAATTTCTTATTGAATTACGACGATACTTTTTTACCTTCAATGCGCTTATTTTGAAATATCTTAACCTTCTATTCTTATTTCGAAAACGGTTGCAACTAGTAGTTGCGGTAGTTTTTTCTTAAATAACAAATTTATGTTCCATTTTAGCACTTCTAACTGTACTAAGAATTTAATTCAAAAAGACAGCTACGAAATGAAGTTAAACGTCTTGGTACAATAAAATAAGTTCCCGTCTCGCCCCATAAATAACATTAGATGTGTAATTGATATTTATCGTCCGCTCCTGTCCTATTGAATCGAGTGTTGGTACAGATTTGTTCTTTGTAGGGGAGTATATTTGATGGGCCACTTTGTCTCGCAGTGTAACGGGAGTAGAAGGTGAATGATTGATTTATTTTTGTAGATATAACATTATATTTGGATTTCGTGTGGGTGATTTTACAGCGGGTAGAGCTGTTGTTTTTCAATAGAGAGGTCAACGGTTCAAATCCCTGTAGGGGCAAGCACGTATGACTTGTGCTTCCTAGTTATATACAGGGTTAATTGTAAAATAATAACAATCTCGCGGGACTATATTATTAACATCATAAGCACCAAATTTTGTTCCATGGCTTTTAATAATTCATCAGAATTTACATAATAATTTAAACTTTATCACCATCATCACATCACAAAATAAATCACCCATCACAACCAAAATTATTTTTATGAATGACAGCAGGCGGGAGGCGTTACTTAACCTACCAAATTGAGATCTTAAAAGTGTTATATATCACAACAAAAACTTAAAAGTTAAAAGGTCCAATGCAGTCAGCGTAGCGAACTATGACCTAAACTTTTTCCTTAGATTGTCAAAAGGTAAAATTTTCTAAAAATCTTCATAATGGATGCGACTCTTGTAGTACATTATTTCACACTCTGCCGTTCTGTCTAGTCAATCAATATATTGCTTCACCCATGTCTTCAGAGACAGTTTCCTCTAAAACAGGTCCTTCCTAGTATCGGAATGCGTTCCGAGTGAGCGGGTCGCCGCCCGCGCCGGAAATCCGCCGCTTCCGGCCCCGACACGGTGATCGCGTGTCACCCCTGGCCAGTTGATTTTTTACAAGGGTCGTTTGTGGGTGAGAACTTTTTTGGGACGCTTAATTTTGACCTCTAAAGGACACGTGTAGTTATATGTAATACGTGTTGTAGTGCCGCGATTCTATGGTAAAATTATTATACTGATTTGTTATGACATATAGAAGAGCTACTGCCAAAATAGTGGATTAGGGGAATCTACGGAAGGGGGAGAGTGCGATTCGTACGTCATTGCGGGGAGGCTCCTTTCGTGGACCTCAATGAAGGAGGTGAATGAGCCCGAATTGTAGGAACTGACATGAGACCGAAAGAAATGGCGTACTTTGGTGTAGGCTATGATGCACTTGGAGTCGATGAGTATATAATTTGTTATTCAATTCAAATTTTTATTGCATATATTATAATTTTTAGTCAACAAAAATCAGACGACCCACCTAATTAAGAAGTTGTCGCCGCCGCTAGATATTGGCTTTGTCGATCACGTAGCATGCCTGTTGTTTCAAATCTATTATAATATAGTACTGTTCATGTCTTAGGAGATGTCATAATATGCCGCTCTATTAAGCATTTATAAATAAAGTAGAGCGAGGTAAATAGAGTAGGAAATATAAAGGGTTTAATAAAAATGCTTTTGAAAAAGTGGTATATGATACTAAAATAAAGGATAATATAGAAGTAACTACATAGTTGAACCAGTTCCGTTACGCTTTCTTTAATCTGCACACACGGCCGTTGCACTGAAGAGCGCGCAGACGTAATACACTTGTCGGCATTAAATGTAGTACTTTGAAATAAATAACATAAGGTTAAATTATACTTATTGATACCGATGAAAATAATGTACCGAAATTTTTGGAATTGTTCTGTATAAAGTACTCATTCTTGTAGCTATATATCGCAAAATGTTATATGGGCCGATTCGACTTATCGGTATATCTTTGGGGAAGAATAGAACAAA